AAATACACAGTCAAAGTCTGAAATGAATAATAAAGATCTGGAGAGCTCAACAAGTCTCAAAGTACATAATGTCTAATACAAGAAATAAGGCAAACAACCTTTATAACTCTAGAACATAAACCTCTCAAGTCTAAAATGTCTCAAGTGGAGTACAAAAATAAATACATCTAAAAAGAGGATAGTAGACACTAGTAAGGGTCGTCCTCAACCTGCGACTCTCCGGGCTCCTGGCTCGTTACCTGAAAGGGGGAGGGACAACGAGCGTCAAAGCGCTAGCGAGCAAAATCACAACCAACCCCAAGGGATAGGGCTTGTTGCATAAGAAAATATAGTTAATACACAATAATATAAATCATTTATCCTAACAACAATGGGTTTTGGTACTTAGGAAAATACAACACGAGCATAGGTACGTCGAGCGAAATAATCCAAACAAGGAAACCCTCATGTATATACCTTGTATCTCAAATTGTAAATCCCTAAATACTAAACCAAAGATCTAATACAAGAAACAATAAAGGAAACGAATACAAACCCATCTCTACCGATAAGTGTAATCATGTCGTCATGGCCACAATAAGTGTCATGTCTGAAAACGATTAAGTGTCCAACACGGAGACTATATATATATATATATCATATGAATGTCCAGCACGAGGACTAAATCACGAGGACTAAACAGAAATGCATGTCCAATACGAAGACTGGGTGAAATGAATGTCCAACACGAGGACTAAGTAAAGTGGATGTCCAACACGAGGATTAAATGAAAAGAATGTCCAACACGAGGACTAATCAGTAATGCATGTCCAACACGAGCACTGGGTAAGACGAATGTCCAACACGAGGACTAAATGAATGAAAATATAACCACTACAATTTAATACCCGATAAACAAGGCAACTTCTCATCTTCAAGAATGATAAACAGTACCCTCGAACATATGAACACAGTCTATATATATATATATACACAGCAGGTGATTTAACAGAAACACAAATAAGACAAGAAAGACTTCGATGAGTCGACTCGTGCTCAGTTATGAGTCAACTCATGTCTCATGGGTCGATTCATGATCTGTTACGAGTCGACTCAGCAGAAAACATATGATAACAGGAAATGACTTCGTGAGTCGACTCATGGTTAGTTATGAGTCGACTCATGACTTATGGATCGATTCGTATACTGATGAGTCGACTCAGCAGAAGTAAAAAGGCAACACAACTAGACTTCGTGAGTCGACTCATGACAGTCATGGGTCGACTCAACCTGATGAGTCGACTCGTGATGAGTCGTGAGTCAACTTACGGGCTGAAATCTGCATATATCACAACTGCAACTCGTCCATTTCGATCCATACTTCCACTATACTGATCTACGCCTCCTTAACTATCAATTCTAAACTATGAGGCAGTGAAAGAATTCATACATAGTATGAGAAATGATTACTTGCATGTTAAACCTAACATTTAACCCCTAAACATGAAAAAGAGCATTTAATCAAAATAAAACTCATATTTCATTTCTTTAAATAAATTCCCAGATCTGGGTTTTCATCAAAAACTTGTTGGTGGGAGTTTAAAAAATCTAAAACATACGATCTTTAGCATTTACACTAATAAGAACATCGTTTTATATTTGAAATTATGTCTTAGGCTCAATAAAACTCATGAAAAACGTTTATAAATTCATAAAACCATGGGAGAGAGATTGGGCGAGATGTTACTCGCCTCAGATGTGATGAAGAACGATTCTCTTCGCTGAAATCCAAAAGAAACTGCTGAAAAAAATCCTTTGAAACGTCCCAAAATCACCAAGAACACCTAGGGTTTGAGAGAGGAGAGAGGGGGACTAGGGTTTCTGGGGAGAACTGATGAAAATGAAGTGTTTTCGGGTAGAGGAGCATATATATAAACAGTTAAAACCCGACCCGAAACCCAAACAAACCCGACCCAGAAAAACCAGAAAACCCTCGATGAGTCGACTTATGTTCAGTCGTGAGTCGACTCATGACTCATGGGTCGACTCATAAGATTATGAGTCGACTCAGCAGAGGCTTATGACAAAGGGAGATGATATCATGAGTCGACTCATGACAGTTATGGGTCGACTCATGAGCTGAAAACTTAGTTCTTCGACTCTGATGCTTATGATTTGCAAATTTGCAAACTCAACCTCATAACTAATGCATATATACATTCTCATAAGCTCAAAAATGCTAGATTTCATGCACAACCATGCCATGAAGATATTTTTCACATATTGAATATTGCGTTTCACTAATATCCACATGTATGAATTATCAAAATCAACGGGGTCTTACACTCTTGCTCTTTCTCGATCTCTCGCTCTCTCTCATCAGAAACAAGAAATTACCACCGTTCTCTCTCTCTCGCCACTACCGTCGGAGTTCACAGCTGCCGTCGAGCCTGCATCGAGCCCTGAACTAGGATTTTTTGAACTCGCCGCTTCCATCATAGTTCACCGCCTCAGTCAGAGTTCTCTGCCGCCATCAAGCCCTGAAGTTTGCCACCGACGTCGATCGTGCAGTTTACCGCCGAATCCCATAAAAAAACCCTAAATCGGAGTTCTTCCTCATTTTCGCCCCAAATCCTCAGTTTACCGCTGCTTCCGTCGGGTAATCTTTTCAAAGGCTAGCCTTGTTTATTTTAAGCTAATATCTTCTATATGGTCCCAATTGGCATGGTATAGTTTGACTGAAGATTCAAAGTTTGCATTTTACTTGAGGATCAATGGTCTTAGTGTGATATAGAAGAGAAAATAATTCATAAAACATTTTTAAAATTTGCAAGATTGGGAGCTCTTTGCCTTTGGTTCTACTTTACAAGTCTGGTTGTCTTGTTATAAAAGTTTCATGGTGGGGGGCAATCTGAAATAAATTATTATGCTTTGGTTGAGGATGGGTGAAAAGGGGATACTATGTAGTAGTTGCTGGATCGTTGATGATTACCTGTTTATAAGTGTTTTGGCTGTATGAGATACATTTGGTTGGTGATTGTTATGATACACGGATTCTAGTTATGTTTATTTTCAGCAGTTTATTATGCATGTGCAGCTTTTTTGTGACCTCTTGTGCATGTGGTGATGTCAATTTGAACTTGCAGTTCTTACTGAGGTAAAATATTTTTGTTTCATCTTTGTTTAATGTTGACTGATTCTTTCAGGTCATGTTTAACCTGAGAGTTGTTTCATGAGAGCAACAATTTGGGGAATTTGGCAAATTGATTCTTGTTTCATGTTTAACCTGTGATTGGTTTGACTCACTGTGTTTTCTTCCCAAAGCTTGAAAAATTAAAAAGACAGTAACACTTTTTTTATCCACTGTTTTTTCAACAAAAGGTCTTTAGTTTATCCATTGTTTTTTTTTGAATCTCATTTTTTATTGCTTCAATTTAATAGAACTTTGCATTTCCCATGGACAGTAACTCTCAGTCCATGGGACATCTTTTATGTTTATTATTTTAGATATATATTATTGTAAATTTCTATTCCAAGAACTTTGCATATCCCTATCTGACATTCTTCATGTTTCTTGAGCTAAACAAGGACATCTCTACTTAGTATGCTTATTGCTTAGTTGTAGTGTGAAGAATTGTTAGTTTTACATATTTAGTCATTATGAATTGGTATTGCATGTTATGAATGATATTTACCGGTTGCAATCCATTGTAAATTAAATTAACCTGGTCTTTGTGCTTTGCAAAGTCTTGCTAAGCTAAATTGTGCAATTTACTTTCTTGAAACTTGTTTATCTTTATTTTGATCGTACCACATTTTTAATATGCTGAATTTACTTTCTAAGAAATTTTATCGCTAACTTTGACTAATTTAGGTTGGTATGGCACATGACTATATCAGAGTTAAGGATTGGATGTATGTGAATCGTGAAAAACGCACAAAGCCTGAATTCATTGAATGACTATATCAGAGTTAAGGATTGGATGTATGTGAATCGTGAAAAACGCACAAAGCCTGAATTCATTGTAGGAGTTGCCTCTTTCATAAATTTTGTGCGTGAACACAATAGGATCCAATATGGGATGATTCTTTGTCCGTGCAATCATTGTGGGAATAGGATGCATCGTAAGGAGGAAGATGAAGGACTTCACATTGTTAAGCATGGTTTTATTAAGGATTATACAATTTGGGTATATCACGGAGAAATCGTAGCTCCTAATATTGCCGATAATGAAGAAGAAGACAATGAAGAAAATTTATTTCCAGAAGAGGAGATGGAGGAAATGATAGAAGTTGCTTTTGGTGACTCCAATCTTGCTAAAGATGATCATCCTTCCGGACAAGAACATGTAGATGAGTATGAGAAGTACATGAAAGATGTCAAAAGACCAATTTATGAGAATGCAAAATATTCCACACTATCATGGTTCGTTCAACTTTTCTAGATTAAATGCCTAAAAAAATGGAGCAACAAGTCATTTACGATGTTTCTAAAATTCCTGAAAGATTCTATGCCTCTGGGGAACAATATGCCTCAAAGTTGGTATGAAGCTAAAAGGATAATGTCAGATCTGGGTTTGAATTGTGAGAAGATTCATTCATGTCCTAATGATTGTGTGTTGTTTTGGAAAAAAAAATTCTAAACTGAAAGAGTGCCCCAACTGTGGAGTTTCTAGATATAAGAAGAAAGTACATGCTAACAAGAATGACATACCAGTCAAGGTGGTACGATACTTTCCTGTGACACAGAGGCTGCAGAGGCTCTACAGGTGTAAGAAGATAGCGGTGGCAATGACTTGGCATACCGTGCTATTCCAAGTGAACATGGTAAAATGAGTCATCCAAGAGATTCGTCAGCATGGAAGGATTTCGACAAGTTGCACACAATATTTAGTCAAGATCCCCGTAATATTAGGCTCAGATTAGCTAGCGCTGGTTTTTGCCCCTTTAGTTTTAATGGCAATCCGCACAGTACATGGCCTGTTATAATGATGATATATAATCTTTCACCGCGGTTAGCGATGGATCAATCATACTTTCTGTTGCCTCTTCTTATTGATGGGCAGAGTTCATCGGGTAACAATATCGACGTCTACCTTCGACCTCTCATCGATGAGTTACAGTCTTTATTCGTTGATGGTGTAGAGACATATGATGCAGACAAAGGGGAAACATTCACAATGCGTGCAGCCTTAATGTGGACAATTAATGACTTTCCTGCATATGGAATGCTATCAGGTTATTCCGTACACGGTTATAAAGCATGTCCTTACTGCCATGCCGATACATCATCGACATGGTTGCCCTTTAGCAAAAAAATCTGTTATTTCGGTCATCGACGTATGTTGGAAGAAGATCATCCTTATAGGGATGATGCTGTTCACTTTGATGGTACTACAGAGCATAGAAAGGCTCCAGTCCCCCTATCCGGAAAGGACATACTTGCTCAGTGGAATGTTTACGGAAATATAACTTTCGGAAAAGTAAAGGAAAAACAGGAAAGACCACAAGGATGGAACAAAAAAAGTGTTTTCTTTGAATTGCCCTATTGGAAGACAAATACCGTGCGTCACAATCCGGACGTGATGCACATTAAGAAGGGAGTATCTGAGAACATACTTAACTTGCTTCTTTGTAAAGATGGAAAATCAAAAGACAACCTCCAAGCTCGGAGAGATTTGCAGCACTTCAACATTAGAAAAGAATTGCATCCTGTACCTAAAGCTGGTAATCCGGGCAAATTTGTACTCCCCAATGTCGTTTATCATATGTCAAAATCAGAAAAAAATGTTTTTAGAGGTATTACATGAGTTGAAGGTTCCCACAGGCTTTTCAGGATCATTTAATAAGAAGATAAAGACTGTGAAAGGCAAGATCGATGGGTTGAAGAGTCATGATCACCATGTTATTATGCAACATCTTCTCCCACTATCCCTAAGGACTTCTCTTCCAGGATCCGTTGGTTTAGTGATCAATGAACTTTGCACCTTCTTTAGAGAATTGTGTGCTAAAAATGTCAATGACAAGGAGCTAGAAAAGCTAGAGAAAGCAATACCTTTGATATTGTGCAAGCTTGAGAGAATTTTTCCACCGTCGTTCTTTGATATCATAATCTACTTGATTGTTCATCTTGCAAAAGAGGCTAGACTTGCAGGACCGGTACAATATAGGTGGATGTATCCTATAGAAAGGTAACTTTAAATTTTCATTTGATGCAATAGATATAATTTCTATCTCCTACATTATTGTGTTTAGTAATTTGATGTGAGTTTTTGTAGGTACCTTTTGACTCTAAAAAATTATATACGAAATAGAAATTGGCCAGAGGGTTCTATTATGGAAGGTTGTCTCTTGGAGGAAGTAACAACATTTTGTTCCCGTTATTTGGATGAAAATATAGAGACAAAGCTCAATAGACCTGTGAGTATTCATGACGGAAAATATGGCAAACCAACTTACACAAAAATGGGACTCACATTTATTAATGATATACATCGATTTATCATCCTCAATAGCATATGCCTCGAGGAAGTTAGAGAGTAAGTATGTTTTATATTAATTGTTATATGTATGTATATATAAAATAATATGATGTTAATGTTATAACAATTCATGTTGAGAACAGAATTCACAAGGATGAATTACGTGAAGAGCATCCTAATTGGAATGTTGAACGATTGGAAAAACATCATCATGATAATTTTTGTAGCTGGTTTATAAATTATGTAAGATTTTCTTTGTCAACATTTATATGTCATTATCTTAACCTAAACTTGTATCTTTATATAATTACCACACAAACTGTTTTGTCAGGTCCAAGATCCAAAAGTAGAATTAACATTGGATAAGGATTTGAGATGTCTATCTAAATATCCGAGCCGAGAGGTTGCATACTACAATGGATTTGGTGTAAGCGGGTACAAGTTTGAAATCAAGGAAATAGAAGAATCTCGGACCACCCAGAATAGTGGAATTGCGGCTATTGGCACTGAAGGAATAATTTACTATGGGTATTTAGATAGAATACTCGGTATTCGCTATCCCGGAAGAGCAAAACTAATTTATTTATTCAAGTGTGTTTGGTATCATACAAAAACTGGACATGGAAAGTGGAGAGAAACATATAGGACTTGGAAAGATGAATATGGATTGACTAGTGTAAACACTAATCTTTTTGAGTTTGAAGATGAACCATATATATTCCCGGAACAAGCATTTCAAGTATACTACTCAAAGTGCTTGAAACATCCTGAATGGAGTGTTGTTAGCCGATGGAAGCCTAAGAATACTTACGATGTCCCACAATTTGTGGATGTTGACAAAGAGGACAATGCTGAGACAGATTCTGATGATGACGGACTTAGATTGTTACAAGCTTCTATTTCTATAGATCCAAATGAATCTCAGGTTGAGCATGAAGTTTCATGGGTTCGGAATGATTTTGAACATGAAATCATTGTAGACATTCCTACAACGTCTAAGGAGTCTGTAAAAAGAAAAAGGTAGTAATCACAAAAAAAAATTCATACACACATACGTTCACTTTGTTACATTCACTATATACATGCATATACATGTTTATACATGTTCACTATATACATGCATATACATGTTCACTATATACACAATGCTTGGTTGGGTGGGCAATCACAATAAACCTGATTATATACATTTTTTTATATGTACATGTTCACTATATACATGTATTGCATGCATCTCATATATATATATATATATATATATATATATATATATATACACCAACGGTTGGAACCGTTGGTGCTGAAATTTGCACCAACGGTTCCAACCGTTGGTGCATTGTTTTTTAATTTTAATAATTTAAATTTAAAAAATATCAGCATCAACAGTTGTAATCATTGGTGCTGATAAAACAACCGTTGGGGCAAACTTTGCCCCAACGTTAATTGTCCCAACGGGTTATTTGTTTGTCCCAACGGTTTGAACCGTTGGGGTCACTATCTGCCCCAACGGTTTGAACCGTTAGGGCTGGCCTCTTTTGTACTAGTGCTAGTTTCATAAAAATTGAGCCTTTTTCATATATCTGATATCCCAAATGTCAAAGGTTGAATTTTTAATACTAAAATTTAAATTTTTTAATGAAAAATTGAATCTTTTCATAATAAAATCCTTTTTTCTTGTTCCATGGCGAAAATCACCATCAAAAAGCTGACGAACGATCCTAGATCCTACTCTGATACCAATGTGAGATCCGGATAACTACATGCATTCAATAGGTTGATCTACTACACAAGCAATGTACAGTAAAAAAATAAAGAAACCCTAGTATGTATCGAGAGAACATAAACAACAAATTTAAGGTAAAAGGATCATTTCTATATGATCGCTATGTTCTCTTGATCAACGACCGGAGGGCAACCATACCGTGAAACTGGCGAGAAGCTCCCGCATATGACACTGTGAATACCGCATAAAGTACGAATTCAAACGGAGAAATAAATGACGGCTATATGAAGGTTTATAGTGTATCTCCCTCTATTTTCATGAAAATCCTCATATCTATATAAAGGGGCTTAAAGATAGAATCCTACACTCATTAGGATTATGGATATCTTATCTCTAAGATAAGATATCATCACTCATTTTTTTGGGGAACTATCTCATAACCAATAAAAAGGAAGAATATGAAACTTCAATAAACAGTGTATTACTTTGTTTGATGAAATATCCATTACTAAACTTTATGATTAAAAGATTTAAAATAGGATAATTAAATTTTCTATTTGTAGGTTGGCCACAGATGTAATTGGTATTTGAAAATTCTCATTGCCTTGTCTTAGCAGAATGTAAAATTTCTCCAGATATTTCATTTATCCTATTATAGATGTCCATTCCATTTCCCGTATGTGCAAAATAATTGTTAGCGTGACTCCAATATGGACTTAAGTCAAGAGTTCTCTCTGTTGGATAGACTTGGCTGAGAAGATTCTTTTTTATTAGGAATTAAGTTGGTCATCAATGTAATCCTATTGTGCATTGAACTGTAGGCGTCAAAAAATGTCTATAGGTCCCCGAATATAGCTCAAGACAAAGAGAAGGCGATGAACATCATTATCCGAGTCGAAGAGGATTATCCGACGCTGACAAGCGCATGAAGCGAATCTGCGAGCCGTTGATGACACGACAACGAACCACCACAACGACAAACGTCAAGTGGCCCGCACGCGTCAATCAACTCAAAGCGTCCAAACGCGCCCAACAGTCAGTTAGGACGCGCGCGTCATTCAGCTCACGCGCGTCAATCATCAATCGTGCGTCTCAATCAACACGCGCACGTCAATCAGCTCGAGTGTCAATCAACTCGCGTGCGTCGGTCAACACGCGCGCGTCAATCAACTCGCGCACGCCAACATACGCACGCGTGCATCAATCAACACGTGCGCATATCAACCAACGCACGTTCGACAGTCAGTCCCGCAATGAAACGTACAAGTCAACCAAATACGCGAAACAGGAGAAACTACAAATCTCGGAAGAGTCGGAAAACCAAAAAAAGTGTCAGACTTCAGAACCCGCGCCGATGCGGGACGGACGAAGCTGACCCGCACTAGCGCGGGTCGGTCGAAACCGACCCGCACCAGCGCGGGTCGGCTTTGGCCGACCCGCGGTTGGGCGGGTCGGCCTTGGGCGCGACCCGACGCGCTGTTTTGACCCGAAAACCCGTTTTTCGACGGATTTGAGCGGTTTTCTTGGGATTTATCTGTTCCAGAGGTTCCTAACTGCCTAAATCATATCTCTAAACATTGTTAATCAGTTGTTAACTGAGGATGGAGCCAAATCACTTGTTCTCATCCAAATAACCGCTTCCGAAGCCCTATAAATACAAGCCTAGGGCCTCCTTTCAGCGGGGCGGAGTTATTATCAA